GTTTTGTAACCTTATAAGATTGTCGAATTGTCTTTTCAAATTTAAATAAGTAGGTTAGATAGCAAGTTAGGAGACTTTTTTTAAAGGATAATTTTAAAAATATAAATTTTATTTACTTTGACTTTTTAAATTAGACAAATATTTTAAAATAATTCAAAAATAAAAGACCGGCAAGTATCACCTATCTCAACTTTATTGAAGTTTTTATTGTATGTTATATAGTGATTAGCTTGAGAACTTCTCAAATCCCAGATTAGAGGCTTTGTTGCCACTCTCACTTCGGGACCCAGGCTATAACATACAATGAAAACTTCACTAAGACTGCAACAATGATGGTCACTTTGAAAATAATGTGGGATAATGAATTAGTGACACGTGTAATGTCTATGGGAAGAAGTGAACTGAGACGGCTGCCAAGTTTACTTAGTGTGTGTTTGGGATTGCTTCTCTATTATTGAAAAACATTTCTATTTTTAAAAATTACGGTGCAATGTGTTTGGTGAAAAAAAAAAATCTTTTATAGATAGTAGAGATTAAGTCTAAAAAGTCCGTTTAAGTAAAGTTAGGAATCATAATTTTTAAAATTGCGTTAAGGTAGGGGTCCATATTTTTAGGTATTTAGACAATTTAATCCCTTTATATTTTTTATAAATACAAATAATATGGACTCTGTAACAAACTAAAATCCTAATTTACTTTGGGACTCTCCAGCCTTCCAATCTCAGTTTATTTTGGGACTCTGAATTATATAATTGTTAGATGTTTAATTTTTAATAAATTATGATTTGTAATTTGTTTTTAAAATAACTATAATACATTTATACTATTATCTTAAATAATAAGTAATAAGATTATTAGTTGTGGTTAAAGTGTTTAGTTTTATTTTATGGAATGTTGTCTATATTGCAAAATATTATATTTTTAAATTTTATTATTAGATAGCATATGAACAAATTTGTTTATTTTATTATTGAAAGATCACAAATCAGATATAAATTATCATCATTAAAATATGTTTAACTCATTTATATTTTAGTACTTAATACAAATTCAATATCATAAACAAAATATGTGATATTTAAAAAAAAAAAAAAAAAAAAACCCAATACAAGTTGATCTTTATAAATTATTGAATTCAATGAAATTTTATAATATTTAATATTAGGGAATTAGTATATGTTTAGTATTAGGGTAATATAGTAAAATTAGTAATAAAAGTGTTTTAAGCAACGTTATTACCAAACAAATTTAAAAGTGCTTCAAGTATAAAAAGTGTTTTATACAATGTGTTACCAAACGCTTAACTGCATTTTATTGACATCATTTTTATAACAGTTTTACTATTAAAAATACTTTTAACATTCTAACGGCAATCTCAAACTGGCTGAGGTTGCTATATTTTGGTAAATAAAAGTTGACCTATTCAAAATGGGCTAACTAACGTGGAAGGAAGAAGAGTTTGGCAGAGAGTCAATAACCAAATTTCTACAAACTAGGAAGTTTAGTTGGATAATGCTTAGCTACTCACTGGTGAGTAACTTCACCATACTCACCCCTTGTGTGTTCCAATAACAATTTACCACATCAGTTTTAATAATAAAATAATCCACGTTTATTCAATGGTTGACGTGAGTTATTTTATTATTAAAACTGATGTGATAAATTATTATTGGAACACACAAGGGGTGAGTAGAGTGAAGCTACTCACAGGTGAGTAGTTAAGCATTATCTAGTTTAGTTAGTATATGTGCAAAATTCGTCAAAAAAACCTTACAATACGCTCAAGAATAAAACAAAAAACAGAAAATTTATTGGGGACTAGTATGCTGTGTTGTAAACGGGTCATGTTGTACCCATGCTTTGTATAAATAACACCGTTTAAGGCATGTTTATTAAAAAGGTAATTTAACAGTAAAACAGAGCAACCAACGACGTTAATGGTAAAATATTAAAAAAAGAAAAATCAAAACATACTTGTCAACCATTGCGATCTCCACTCACTCTTTCAGACTTCATTCCATTTTCTTTAGTGGTTTTATTTCTCATTTGCAGTCCCTTCTTTCAATTTCCAATTTAGTTCCTAAGCCTGTTTAGCTTAGGAGAACTTTTAGAGCTTGGAAGTATGCTGTAGTTGGTGATTTTGATGTGTTTGATGTATATAAGACAATGCTAAGTGCTTAAGCAAAAGTTAAGTGTTGATTTCTTTGAGATTTTTCTCCAGTTTCATTAAAGGACTCTTTAAGAGTCATTATTTCATTATCACTCATTTATGGTTTAAGCAAGTTTTATAACAGTGGTAACCAAATTTTGATACAGTGGTTACTAATTGTAGGTTCAAAGAGAATGTTATGGATAAGTGCATATATCTTAAGTTCAGTGGGAGTCATTTTTGTTTTCCTTGTTCTATATGTTGATGATATTTTGCAAGGTAGCAATGGCATTCATGTGATACATGGTATTAAGAATTTTATATAAAGTTTTTGACATGAAGGACATGGGTATGCAAAGTATGTCCTTGGCACTAGGATCTATAGAGATCACATTACTGGAATACTTGGACTTTCTCTAAAGGCTTATACTAATTAAGTATATGGAATTTTTTTTAAGGTTGACCAAGCGTAGTAAACCTATTGACATAAAATACATTTTCAAGTGTGAGAAGGTTAAATGTTTAAGTGTCATTAAGATTTTCCTATATGGTTACAGAAAGATTGTTGCAGATCCTTTCACTAAAAGTTGTAACGACCCACTCCACCACATGGTATGATATTGTTCGCTTTGGGCCTGAGCCCGCACGTTTTTGCTCTTGGGCTTCACCCCAAAAGGCCTCATACCAATTGGAGGTGACACACTTACATATAAGCACTTCACCTTTCCTCTACCCAGGCGATGTGTGACTGTGCACCCGTACCTCGCCAGTGTGGTAGCCTGACAGTGTCTCTCGCACCCGCCCACGGCACACCTGCCCACAAGGTCATCACAATCCACCCCCTTTGGAGGCCCGACGTCCCTGTCGGCACACTTTCGGCTGGGTCAGGCTCTGATACTATTTGTAACGGCCCACTCCACTACATGGTATGATATTGTCCTCTTTGGGCCTGAGCCCGCACGGTTTTACTCTTAGGCTTCATCCCAAAAGGCCTCATTACTAATTGGAGATGACACACTTACATATAAGCACTTCACCTTTCCTCTACCCAGGCGATGTGGGACTGTGCACCCGTAGCTCGCCAGTGTGGTAGCCTGACAGTGTCTCTTGCACCCACCCACGGCACACCCGCCCACAAGGTCATCACAATATCATACCATGTGGTGGAACGGGTGGTTACAAATGGTATCAGAGCCTGACCCAGCCGGAAGTGTGCCGACGGGGACGTCGGGCCTCCAAGGGGGGTGGATTGTGATGACCTTGTGGACGGGTGTAAGAGACACTGTCAGGTTACCACACTAGCGAGCTTCGGGTGCACAAGTCCCACATCGCCTGGGTAGATGAAATGTGAAGTGCTTATATGTAAGTGCATCATCTCCAATTGGTATGAGGCCTTTTGGGGTGAAGTCCAAGAGCAAAACCGTGCAGGCTCAAGCCCAAAGTGGATAATATCATACCATATGGTGGTGTGGGTCGTTACAAATGGTATCAGAGCCTGACCCAGCCGAAAGTGTGCCGACGGGGACGTCGGGCCTCCAAGGGGGGGTGGATTGTGATGACCTTGTGGGCGGGTGTGCCGTGGGTGGGTGCGAAAGACACTGTCAGGCTACCACACTGGCGAGCTACGGGTGCACAGTCCCACATCGCCTGGGTAGAGGAAAGGTGAAGTGCTTATATGTAAGTGTGTCCTTTTGGGATGAAGCCTAAGAGTAAAACCGTGCGGGCTCAGGCCCAAAGCGGACAATATCATACCATGTGGTGGAGTGGGCCGTTACAAAAGTCTTCAACCGAAGATAATAAAGTATTTATAAAGCACGTGATTCGGATAAATGTTCGAGAGTTATTATGTTATGATATCCGGTATTTCTTTTATATATGTTACATTGTAGTTAGTTTTTTTATGCCTTGTGGTGACAGTTATTTTTGCTCCAATTTATACTTTATGGTGACAGTTATTTATATCCAAAATAAAGTTATGATGCATCATTATTAATTATCTTGATATATATGATTTAGACAGGTTAATGTATTTAGACAAGTCAATAAACATTTACAGACTAACAATCTATTTAGACAAGCCAATAAATGTGTTGAGATGCCAACATGGGTCAAGTTTGCTGAACAAAACCATTTCACTGTTTAGTCTTGAGTTTTGAGTTCATCTAGTCTATTAATGAATGTTGTTGGAAAAATGTTAATGATTATTTAATTAAATTGGTATAATTGTGTAGTTCTAGAAGAATTTTATTTGGTTAATACTTCTACATATGAGTTTTTGAAATTTGAGTGACAAAATTAATAAAAATTTAATTGAAACTCAAGCAAGTCAAAATGTAGTAGTAACTTAAAGGAGACTCAGTACATGAGATTTTATTTACACAGTTTTGAGAAGAGAATAAAAAAAATAATAATAATACATCTTTCAAAATTTTGAAGAATGTGAAGGACCATCATCCTAAATATTTTTGAGTAATGCTTGCATCTTGCGCAGGGAGGATGAACTTCATCCTCCCTGCGCAGGATGCAAATATTACTCAACATTTTTAAACATACTTGTAAATAATCAATTTTTAAAACATTAATTAATTAATTAATTAATTTATTATTATTATTTTTTTATGTCTTTGGATTTTCTTAAATCACACCTTCCTTGAATATTCTTTGACATGATTTTTCAACAAGCCATATAGGGAGGGAGGATGAGGATGAGGATTGGAAACTTCTCGGTAATTCACCTCAACGCATACATACACGCCAATTAACCAACTATTCTGCACTTTGGCAATATGTTCACTTTTCAATATATACATATAGAGTGAGAGAGAGTGTGTCTGATCTGAGCAAACAGAGAGAGAGAGAATGGGGATTAGAGAAGTGTGGAGTAACAAGATCAGCAGAGAGGAACTGAGTGCAGGGGATCACATATACTCATGGAGGGGCAGCTCACGCCTCTTCGCTCATCACGGTCCTTTCCTACCTTTCAATTCTTGTCTCATCCTATCAATTATATATATATATATATATATATATATATGGAAAGTATTACCCACAGTTTTTTGTAACATGTGTGGCATGGACAACAGGGATATATGCAGGTGGGGGGATGGTGATCCACTTCACTCGGGGTGCGGATCAGGAGTTTGGCATACGAAAAGTGGACCGCGTTTCAGTTGGCTCAGCTGCACTTACCTCCTTCCGTCATTCCGTCGACAACCCATGCCCAAGTTGCGGGTATCACTCAATGCTTAATGGTGTCATATCTTCATGCATTGATTGCTTCCTTTCTGATGGTGAACTCTACCTGTACCGGTATGGCGTCTCATGGACTTTCTATAAAGCCAAACTTCGACGAGGGACCTGTACCCGTAAGCCTTCTGATACACCTAATGTTGTCCTTGCTCGTGCTCAATCTTTTCTTGCTACTGGTTTTGGTGACTACCACATCGTTAACAACAACTGTGAGAACTTTGCAATCACTTGTAAGACAGGTGAAGGCATTGGCATCCCGAATGGCCAGGCAAAATTCCTTCTAAAGATCAGTCCATGGTTCGCAGCATCGGTTCCGGTCACGGTCGCAGTATTGATTGTAATTGCGATGTAATAGATTCGGACAAATTCAGTGTAAACTGACCGATACAAATTGCCTATCGTACTTAAAAAAGTAGTCTCAATAATCGCATACCATAGAGGTACCGGTGCTGTCATGGAGAGAGACGTTTTTAGATCTAGCAATGAAAAATATCCTCCTTTACTTTATTAATCGTAATTTAATTTAAATTGAAATGTAAAATTTCGTAAACTGTTTAGAGTTTTAGACATTTTAAAATGCATCGTGTTCAATTGTCCTTTCAAATTTAAATAGGTATGAGAACAAGTTGGGAGACTATTTTTTTAAAAAAAAATTTGAAGGATAATTTTAGAAGATACATTTTTTTTTGCTTTGACCAAATTGAACAGAGGATTTTGAGACAATCCAAAATAAAAAGATAGGCAAGTAATATTATGTTCTTTGGGGGACATTTACTATGGTAATGGGTTTTTAAAAAAAAAAACTAAATTTCGAGTTATGTACGTGCATTTGTGACTTTGTGCTTCTTTCAGAGAGTCAATAACCAAATTTCTACAAACGAGGAAGTTTAGTTTGGTGTATTTGCAAAACTTCGTCAAAAAATCTTACAATATGATCGAGAATAAAAGAAAAAGCAGAGTAGTATTAGCAGAATAGCTCTAAAATCTCACTTCGTTGACTTTTTCTAGAACGTTGTGATAATGTGTGTACACCGTACACCGTTAACCATCATACCTATGATGTGATTATGCTTACTTATTATGGTTTTATCTTATTTATCTATCGATCTCTCCAATCTCCATTACATTCCCTATCCTTCAATTTTAGCAGTTAATTCCTTGACGGTTGCTGGTATCACCTGTCTGATACAGATAGAATTGGGTTTCAATAATATTTCTTCCCATTATAATTTCAAAAAAAAATCCTTAATATCATATTTTTTTTTTTACTATTTTGTTTCTTTAACTAAATTTTAATTATTTTAATTTTTAAAAGCCTTTCAAAGTTAGATTAATATATATGATACTATAAATCATCTTATTTTAATTTTATTTTGCAAAGAACAACATATAATCTTAAACCTATCAACAAAGTCTCAGAATTAGGAGTCAATGGCGAACGCTCTTTATTTATTATTATTATTATGATTTTTTGAAAAATAATGATGTGACAAATTTGAAAAGTTAAAATTTGATGATGTCATTGAAACGTAAAGTAATTGAGTTGGAACCTCCTATTTTATTCTCATCATCTGATTGGACAATGAATTTTGACCAGAGAGTGCAGTTATTCCTATGGCCAAAATTGATATATAAGATCCTCATAATGGAATCTATTGCATTTTATGACTGCTAGTCTACTACTTTAAGGTTTTCCCTGCCTCTAAAATACTGAAAATGTTGAGACTGTTGACGTCCATTGGCGCCTTTGTACCACATTTTTCGTTGTTTCTCTTTATCTTCTTTAATCTCATTGATATTATCAATGACGAATATTCATTTGAATTGAGATTTCAAGAAAAAAAAATTGAATTAATCCGAATTACTCTTATGACTAATCTCTACACTCAAAATTTATTTAAGTCACCTTCAAATAAAATTGGGTTAGGTTCGAATAACAAATTTTATCCAATTAATTTTACCAAAGGCATCTAGACTATAATAGTATAACCTCATGTTACCAAAAGTGTGAATTTTTGTTCAGGGGCACACAATGTACACTAAATACGTAGGTGAATATATATAGAGATTGATATTTTTGAAACGAGGTAAATTAATAAATTACATATATAGAATATAATAAAATAATTTTAAAAAATATATATATAAGGAAACTTATAAAGTATAGCAGGGAAGGAGAAATTTGAGAGGGACACTTTTACACATTTTCAAAAAATATATTCATATTATAAGAAAATATATATGTATAATAAGGGAAGGAAAAAATTCAGCGCCCCCTGATTTTATACTGGCTCCGTCACTGGGCTTATTTATTATTGAACGAGTATTTTGAATGAATATTTTTATTATTAACAGAGTTGTTAAAAATTATGATGCAGTTTTTAAATACTGTGATATGCATTCATTCCATACATATTAGAAATCTATGCGTGTGTATACTGCAGTTAGAAATCTCATTTGATTTAGGACAAAGACGATGCTGAGAAAAAGCATTTGGCTTCGCCCGGGTTCGAACCGGAGACCTTCAGTGTGTTAGACTGACGTGATAACCAACTACACCACGAAACCTGATGATGCTGAGAAGTTGTTCTTAGAATAAAAGACAAAGGAGTGGGGGGACAGAGTGCGGAGATTCGTTTAAAGGAATTTTAGAATTTTGAATTTAAATTATTTAATAGATGACGTGATATTTTGTAATCTGTGGATCATGCACGCAGAAGATATTTCAGAGGAAAGGAGCCAAATCCAATGCGGCAGCGGCTCCTCTCCTCTAAACAACCTCTACACGGATCTACGAATTTATGATATCCAACATCACTGAGAGTGCCATGTCATTGTTTATAATGTCAAAGACAAACTACTCTTTCATCCAAATCTCTCAAACAGAGCCGTCAAAATTTCTCAAAAGCTTCTTGGTAGATTTGGCTTGCCTTTTTAACACCAAGCCCTTGTGAGAAGAACCTCATTCGTTTTCCTCTTTAAATTCAGGTTTCTTCTCAAGATCTGTCCATAATTTAACAGCTCTCTCTCTCTCTCTCTCTACATATATTTATATATATACAAATATACAGAAATTTATATAGGAGTAATGCTCTCTTATTCATTGGTGAGCAAGAAATTCATTGAGACCATTAGATGTTAAAAAGGTAGTTATTAAAATAAAATAACAATTACATCCAACTATCATAATACATGGTAAGATTGAATATCTTGCTGATCATTTATGTATATCTAATTATCTACTAAGTATATATAAATGCAAATGTTGTTTACAACTAGGTTTAGAGAAGAAGAATTTGTAGTAGTCATACATATATATATATATATATATATCTAGGTTTTGAAGACAGATTTGGATAGAAGGAACAATCTGGACCGATTGAAGCGAGAGGAACGTTTTGATCAGGCAAACCAATCCCATGTTGATTTGGTGTTCTAAATCTTAGCTCCACCCTTGGAATTCAAACAGGAGATTTGGGATTGGAGCTATCAATTTCAATTCTAAAACTTCAATCCGAGTGTCGAACATACCTTAAAATCGCCAGGGTCGCTGTTTACATAAATCTATCCAAATTTGGAATTTGGAATTTCAACTTAACTTTCTGGGTATGTTGTATATATACACAAGTAACTTTCTGGGTATGTTGTATGTTGACACCCTTTTTGATAAATTTTGCATCGATGACGTGACAATTAGTTTGAGCTAAAAATGGGCCGAATAAAGGAGGGAGAAGTAGTTGAATTAGTTCACATAAGATTACAATTTTGTATTTATCTTTTAATTTGTTTCAATTATATATTAGTGGTTATCCTTAAGTTAGTTTAATTTAAATATATTATTTGTTTTGATAGAGTTATAATGTTAGTAAAATACTTACATATAAGAATTTGTTTTACGTACTATTTTTCTATAAATAATCAAAAGAGGGATGTTGAGATAGAGGTCCAGCACCTTCATAATCATTATATTTATTTGTTTATTTTTTCAAACCTTTCCTAAAATAGCATCCTTGCTATTTTTTTTCCCTATCTCCTCAATATCTCATTCTATCTTTCTTTCTATATCTATTTATCTCCTCTTTCTATTCTCTCAATTATTACTATATGATAAAATTCTTTTAATTAAGGCAATTAGAACTCAAAGAGGAGTTATATTTATTCTCTTTCTCCTCGCATTGCCTGATAGTCAATATTCTCAACCATATAATTGGTTTTGGCACGCTCGTGTCACATTAATTCCGAATCGGATCTAAGGAGTCGATTTTAGCGTCAACAACAACTAAAATACGTTTATTTATCTATTCTTTCCAACTATAAATATGCCTGTGTGTATATTGCAGTTAGAAAACATAAATCTCATTCGATTAAAAAAGAAAAATTCCACCTAATTAGGGCTGAAATTGAAGGGAAGAGAGAATTTGTATTTTGTTAGGCCTACACAAAGATAATACCGAGAAATTGTTCTCAGGATAAAAGAGAAAGAAGCATCAGAAGAAGGGGACAAAGAAGGAGGCTTGTAATCATTTCTATATTAAGAGTAGGTTTATAAAATTACGTACTAATAAATTTTAGCAAGGCTTATAACAGTAATTTCACCTGGAAACTACTCTTTTAATAATTATAAATAAAAATTTTGGGAGGCCAGCTCTAATTTCTCTTTGCAAAATTAATAATAATAATAATAATAAAAAAGAAAGATCTGAATTTCGCCAAGTCAGTAAGTAGAAAGAGAGAGAGAGAGAGAGAGAGTAGTGTAGTCTAATATAACAAGATCGACAGAGATATATACTCATGAATGGTGCGGTCGTGTCGTAACACCCCAAATTGCAAAGAAAGTGTGGCCAAGTTTAAATTTATAAAGTGTTGCTACTATTTCTAACTACTAATATAGATAGGGTGAGTAGGGATCGTCCCAAGGAATTGGGGGCAATGTTAATATGAAAACAAGGTCGGACTAGTAGGTTAAGTGATCAAAAGATGGTTTGATTGGTTAATTAAACTACAATGTAAATAAATTCAATACAACTACAATGTGAATAAATTCAATACAAGGCAATTAAAACAAATAAAAGGGTAGGTAACAAGAGAGAGACGTCTTGGGATTTAGAGGTCACCACTAAACATCACCTTTCTAGACACTTAATGTGTAATGAATGGGGGGAAATATGTGTTGCAATACAAAGAGGTGTGATCGATTGAATCAACAAGTATGGATGACTAATTAAGTATATATTGTTTAGACAACCTAGTGAATAACATAATATATCAAACTAAGCCATTATTCCTTTCTTTAAGCTCACAATCAACACACTAATAAGTTAGAGAATTATACTACTTGCATTCATAAGTATGGAACATCAAACAACAAGTATGGATTATCCTCACATCTAAGAAAGTAACACAACTACACTACATTTAAGTTAAGGATATGAAAATTAAACTAATTAAACTAAGGTAGATGCACAATCCATCAAGAAATGAGTATGAACCATTAAATTAATCACAAGAGTATTCTATTTAAGTACTATGCCTTGACGATCTCTAGATTCATAGCATCAATACACATAGACATGCATCAATATCACAAAACCA